ACACCCCATTTTTGGACTAAAACTATTTTGAATGGTTTTTAGACCTTAAAACCCTCTCTTTTAGAATATTTTTGAAAATATGATTCTACAATGTTCTGATGCTCATATTTTGTTAAATGCCACGCTTTTCGGTAAACCGAGTGGGAACAAAGTGGAAATGAATAAAATAAATGAAATCTTTGAAAAATCTTTCAAAACACCTTTTTTAGGGGTTTGGAGCTGAAGAAAAGAGGAGGAGAGGGAAGAAACCAAGTTGGGGAAGAAGATGGGCATGAACCGTTAAGAGAGAGAGTCGAACAGCCCTCGCTAAATCGAGCCTATCCATTGGTACACGTGGATTTCAGCTATGAGGCCACCACCATTGGAAAGAAGACTTCCGGGGCTTTAGTTTTCATTCAAGAATCTCCTAAAGCCGAGTCCAGATAGGGGAGATATGATTGGTTGAAGTTAGGCATCAATCCGGTTGGACCAAAACTGAGCAGTCTTCACTAAAAGAGAGATATCTCTTAGCACAATTGGAATTTTGAGTGAAGCTGCCACCATTGGAAAGCTTACTTCCAGGGCTTCATTCTGGACACAAGAATGACCTAAAAAGGCATCCAGATGAAGGAGTTAGGCTTTCTTCAAGTCGGGGACTAGAACTGATTTTTGTTGCCGGACTCTATAGGAGTGTGCTGGCCATGAATGGCCAATGCCGGCCCTATGCCATCCAAAAGTGACCCCACGCCGGCCAACAATGATAAGGTGCTGGCCATTGATGCTAGAAAGCAGATTTCAACAGATATTTTACTCCAGCTTGCTCTAGCTGTCTTTTTTGAGATATTTTCAACCCAAACCTCTCTTTTTGCTATATATGGAGGCCTTATCTATTATTTTGGAGGGTTAGAACATTTTAGAATATTTTGGAAAAGGCTTAGGAGCCTCTCTCTCTAGAACTCTCTCTCTCTCTCTCTCTCTCTCTCTCTCTCCCTATTTTAGGCTTGAAAGTGGGAAATCTCTACATTTTTGCATACAACCTCTTGACCAAATACCTTCATCTTGGAGCTGAGGTCCTTGGAGGTCCTATTTGAGGTCTAAAGCTTGGTTTTAACTCAGAAATCTTGTTGTTTTGTTATTGTGCTTCAAGGGTAAGAATTTGTCCCTTTTAAGCTTGTCTTGCACTATTGTTTTGTCACCATTTTAAACTATTTTTGGCTTGGTTTTGAACTGAAGAAAGGTCTGATTTTCAGTCCTAAAAATGTTGGTTTAAGCCTTGTTTGGCCAGGGGGTTGTCTCTTCCTTTTGTTCCTTAGCTTGTATAGCTTTTGAGCCATCTTTCAAGGCCTTTCAAAACAACTTTTCATGGCCATTTAACCACTGAAATCCAGAGGATTTTTAGTGATAAAAACCCTATTTTGAGGTCCCCAAATGGGTGGGGGTTGTCCCCCCTCCTCTTCTCTTGTTTGCATGTCTTATTGGCCTATCAAATGAGCATGTGTTTCTACCATTTTAAGGTTTAGTTCAGGCACTTTTTTGTGACTTTTAGGACTCTGTCCATGGCTGGTTTGGTCACCTTATGCATGCTTTATACACTTGTAGTGTAATTCTTGCAAACTAGCCTTATATGCCTCATGAAGTGGCATGTTTGTTAAGCATGTATGGGCTCCATTTCAGCTTGTTTTTGGTCATTATTTAGCGTGTCATAACTCTTTCTAAAGTTGGTTTGATAGCCCCTTGCATGCTCCATACACTTGTAGTGTAATTCCATGAATTAGCCTAGTGTGTCTCATGCTTTAACATGTCATTCTAGCATGTTTTAGGCTTAACTTCAAGAAGCTTTTGTCCATGTTTTAGCATGCTCTAGCTCTGATTTGTGTTGTTTTGGTCATGCATGCCATGCTTTGTATAGCTATAGTGCATTTTAGCTTGTTAGCTTTGTGTATCAAGTCCACTAGCATGCATTGCTTGGCCTATTTGAATGATTTGGCATCATTTTTTTATGTGATTTCAGTGCATGTTTCATGGTCATGCACTTGCATTTATCACTTATTCAATGCGTTGGAGGGTTTGCCCCTTTATGCCTTAACATAAATCATTGCGTATGCCTTCATGCTTAAGCTTGCGAGCTATCATTTCAATGTGTTTTTGGGGTTATTATGCCATGATATAACTCTGATTTTTGTTTCTTAAGTCACCCCATGCTTGGTCCTAATAGGTGTAGTGTAATCCACCATATTTGCCTTGTATGCATTGTGTCGTATGCCCTTCATGTTAGCTTGTTTTGGCTTCCTTGTATACAAGTTTTAGTATCACTTTAACATGTTTTAGGACTATTTTAGGTTGCCTTTGTCGTATGCTTCATGCTTTGTATAGTTGTAGTACAATTGGCTTTACTAGCTTTGTGTTTTGATTACTCATGCATGCTATCTTTGAGCTATTTAGATGATTTGGCATCATTTAATACTTCATTTTAGAGCTTATAGCATGACTATACTCCCACTTCTTTCATGTTTTAAATGCCTTTGAGTATTGTGCTTTGTTGCCTTGTTTATGGCCTAGCTCGTATGCTTGCATACCTAGGTATTTGAGCCTCCATCTTAGCATGTTTAGGTCTTTGTTTTGACCTATTTCAGCTCTGTCCATGTTTGGTTCATGCACTTGTGCCATACATTGCATGCCCCCCCTTTGTAGTCCTCTTTACTAGCTTCATGCTTTAAGGACCTTCGCATGCTATGCTTGTGTTGTTTGAATGATTTGGCATCATTTCATACCTAATTTCAGTGCCTTTAGTGTTGTCACACTTCCATGTTTATCGCTCCTTGAGAACTCTTGAGAGTTGTTCTCTTAGGCCTAGTTGATTGGCCAATGCATTGTGCGTGCATGCCTTGTCTTTTGGTGCCTTTGTTATGGTGTTTGGCCACTGATTTGGACATGGTTGAGGTCTGCCCATCTTAGTTTAAGTCCATTTTGCATGTTGTTGCATGCCTGTTACATTGCATGTTGTTGCATGCTTGGTACATTGCATGTTGTTGCATGCTAGTTGCATTACATAACATTAACATGTTGTTTGCATGTTTTGCATTGTGTTCAATCGGATGTCATATTGAACACAACGAAGATTGGTTCATTTCATACTTGAAGTGATGATGTGAGCCAATCTCCCTTGGTCTCCATTGCCTTTGATTTTTCATGATAAGGAGATGATCTTGGTGTCTTGTTTGTCATGCATTTATTGAATTTGCACATGTTGGATCTTTGGCTATCATGCATCGAGATGTGTGATTGATGGTCTTGGATCCAATGATGCCCCTTCCATTGATGTTTTGAAGTGATATGGAGTGGCATAGTGCATACATAACCTTGGGAGACCCTCCATTTCCTCTATTTTGTGCTCTGTTACAGCTTGGTGTCACAATACACCAGTGGTCGGCACCCTCTTGTTGTTGGCCGGAAGCTCTTCATTTGTGGCCAGCAGTGTGCATTCTTGGCCGGCAGGCCACTGGTGCACTCCTCAGCACTGTTTTGGTAAGATCCAACAGCTAGTTCTCAAGGACACCCTGTAGACAGAGCCTCTAAAGAGCATTTGGAGAGCTTTTCGGGACAGCAACCGAGCATGCATCCTCTTCTCCTTCAACCAGAGCTGGAACGGCTTAGTTTAATACTTACTTGTTAGTTAGCTTCAATTTGTAATTTAATTAGTTAATTTGTTAATTAATTAAGTGTTGTAATAATTAGTAAGTAGATTGCTTATTATTCATTTCGGTTGTGTAATAATTAGTCTAATTAGATTATTAGATTAGTTGATTAGCTTAGCGTAGCTAGCTTAGCGTATTCATTTGGACCCTCCGTCGAGAGGGCGAATTTTGTAATAAGTGTGCATGAGTGTGTGCATGTCTTCCAACCCCACGTCTTTCTCCCTTTTATTTACCAGCTTTTGATGGTTAGTTTTAGGGCATGTTTCAATTAGCATCCTTATGCTTTGCATGCGTGCGTTCATTCATCTGTCTTGCATGCACCGGGCTCGGCGCATCATACTAACTACATTGTATTTCAATACATTTACTTGAATACGTGTTCAACAACATGTTATCAAGTTGCATTTCACATGACATCTTAGAATAGCCGAGCTTATTTGTAGTTTCATTTTGCATGTGTTGCATTAGGCATTGTTAACATAGCTTGGATCATGCATTGATTACTGACTAGTTGTTGTTTTGGCTCGGAGTACACTGTGAGTGTTTATGCTTTAGCATCTTTGCATGAATGTGAGTGTTGCCATGATAGCATGCTTGCCATGAGGCTAACTGCTTATGTGTTTAATTGCATGAATGCATGTGGATGAAGGCTTCATTGCTTGAATTGGAACAATTCATCAAAATGTGCATTTTAAGCCCACTTGAGGTGCAAAATCATCTTGTTTTCTAAGCCCACTCGAGGGTGGCAAATTCACGACTTAGCCTACTTGCAAGTGGCACTTCCAAACCTTTTTCAAACAAACAAACATGAGATGTTTTGTTCCAATTTAGGCGATCTAGTCTATACTTGTATGTTGTGTGCATCACGTAATAATTCTAGCTAATAACCGGAATAAGAATGCACATGTTTTAAGAAACAAGATATCATGTTAGTAAAGGCCGATCCTTTGATCGGGCGAGCGGGGGTGCTCATTGCATGACCTTCCCCTCTCGTACCCAAGTTCCCGAGCCGAGGCAGCTTTGGTGATGATGGACAGGTGGCCTTAGGCACGAGTCAGGGTTTTCTAAATTTCTCAAAACAAAATATTTAGGTGGCGACTCTGTATCTGGCAAAGCAGTCCATGTTTGACACTTCTTTATAAAATCAATTTTCCAAAACGATTTGCCAGATTTGGACTCTTTGGTGATTTATCGGTCTTGCATTGCACTTTGCGAGACTAGATTCAAAACCGTGACATTGAGTCTGAACTGTAGTAAGCTAAGGAACGAAACGGATTTCACGCCATTTCGCGCGCGAAGCTCGGGACGTTCGGGCACGTCTACACCATGGAAATTCTTGTGAGGATTTTTACTGAGAAGTCTACTCACCCTCAATTCAAATTTCATTGGAAGTGTGAGAGAACTAGGATTGTTAACCTCTATTTTGTTGATGACCTTATGATTTTTAGTAGAGGTGATGAGTCCACTGTTAAGGTACTCATGGAAGGTTTTATGGAATTTAAAAACCTCTCAGGCCTTACTCCTAGCCTTAGCAAGAGTAATATATATTTCTCTGGCTATAGTGAGGATTTGAAAGAGTCTATTTTGAGGATTGCCAAATTCAATGTTGGCAATCTCCCTGTGAAGTATCTTGTTGTTCCTCTCATTACAACAAAGTTGAGAGCCTTTGATTGTACCCAACTTACTGATAGGATAACCAAGAGGGTTAAGAGCTGGACCCACAGAGTACTCTCTTATGCTGGCAGAGGCCAACTCATTCAAACCATCCTCTTTTCTATGCAAGTGTATTGGTCTTCCTTGTTCATTCTTCTAATAAAGGTTGTTAAGGAAATTAAGAGTATTCTTAGGGCTTTCCTCTAGTTTGGCACTGAGCTCAAGAAACATAGTGCTAAAATTGCTTGGGATAAGGTGTGTGCCCCCAAGAATGAGGGTGGTCTGGGGTTTAAATCTCTTGAGATTTGGAACAAGACTGCCATAGCTAAACACATCTGGTTTTTGTTCTCTGGGGAGGAGAAATCTATATGATGCCAGTGGGTTAAATCTTACTTACTTAGAGGCAAAAGCTTTTGGAAAGTTAAAATTCCTAATGACCCCTCCTGGGTTTGGAGGAAGATCCTGTCCCTTAGGAATGATGGCTCTCCTCTTAGCTTTCACAAGATTGGTAAAGGTGAGTCGACTTTCCTGTGGTATGATAACTGGCATCCACTTGGACCTCTATGGAATAAATTTGGGGATAGGATTTTATATGACTCTTGTCTCAATAGCGAGACAAAAGTGAGTCAGATTGTCAATGTTGCTTCTTGGAAGTGGCCTACCCCTACTTCTTGGGAAATTCAGGAGTTGATATCCTCTACTCCTAATAGCTGCAGACTTGATCCTTCTAGAAGTGATCAAACCATTTGGAAGCTTACTCCTGATGGTGAGTTTACTATCCATTCTGCTTGGGATCTGTGGAGAAGTAAGTTTGATAAAGTAGCCAGGCACAAATTCATTTGGAGAGCTAATAGGATTCCTAAAATTAGTTTTATTGTCTGGATTGCCTTCATAAAAGACTGAATATTGGTGATAGGCTGCATAAATTTGGCATGGCAGCTAATTCTGAATGCCCTTTCTGCCAGTCCATTCCTGAAAGTCACTCTCATCTCTTCTTTAACTATATATTTTCTTCTAGAATTTGGCATGCTATTAAATCTAAATGTAATGTGAACTGGCCTGGCCTTCATTGGCCATAAATTATTTTCTTTGCTAACTAAAGAGACCAAGGGCAACTCACTGAGATCCAATATTCTATGTCTGTCTTTACAATGCTCTGTGTACCATATCTAGATTGAAAGAAATAATAGAATCTTCAACAACGAATTTAAACCTAAAGAGGTTGTTATCAAATCCATTGTTCAAATGGTGAGATATAGATTGTTGGCTATTAACAATCTCTTTAGATCAACAGGTGACAACTAGTTTTTGTCTCAATGGAATCTCCCTGAAACTATTTTGAAGCCCCATGGATGCCGTAATAGGATGGCTACTGTGTGATGTGAGTTTTCTATGTGAGGGTTGAGTGATATAGAGCAAAAGTGTGTATTTCCTAATTGTTTGTTAATCTGTGCAGTCTTTGGTGGTTGCTACACTATCTAGCATGAGGGTTGAGTGATGTGAGGAATACATTATAACTGAACATTGATAGTGGGTTGAGTGACTTGTAGCCCTCACAAATTTTCACTAATGTTTATATATATTGTAAAATTTTATATGCAGGATAAGGAAGCTATAATTGAGTGGTGTGAGTTCCTAAATTGTGGGTTGAGTGATGAGAGTATCTATACTGTGGGATTTTTCTTTTTGTTTCTTATGGAGTGGTGGTTCCTTTCTGCTAGTTATACTCATTTGAGGTCCCCTTTGCAGGTTCTACTAACTCCTGACCATATGGCATCCATCTATGTTGATGATCTTCAATAGTTTGTCTTCATGGAAGGTGGTGCAGTAATAAAGGTTTATGATTGGATCTTGTTCCTGTGCTTGTCTGAAGGAAAGTGGTATCTTGGAATGGCTACATGTTGCGCCTTTTTGCTGATCTACATTGGGTTCTTGATCATGTGTACTGACCACACAAAGGTTCATTGCTGGGAGTCTTGTGTTTGGGTGGTTTGCTGTTATGAGCAGATGCTGGCAGAGTTTTCTGCTGACAATTGGGAGCGGGCAACAACATGTGAGGGCTACCTTAGGCGCCTCAAGTGTAAAGCTTGTCTTTATTTAATTTTACTTTCCTTTTATACTTGGATGATTTTCTTTTGGCCTACCTATACGGGCTGTGCATGGGACAAATACTTTTGTGTGTGTCCTCTTTTGAATCAGGTTCCGAGGTATCTGGATTGTGTTCATCACCTGCATATTTCTAGTATGGGGGCCATGAACATATCTAAATTTTTTACTCCTGATTTGGATTTTTTCTTTTGGACTATTTATCTTGCTAGTTTCTCCGGTATGTTTGGTCATAGTTTGTGTTAGGCTAGTCTCGGTTTGGTTTTCTGCCTGTATAGTTTGGCTAGGGCTTGGGGCATGCCCCTTGTAGATGTGTAATTTTTTTTTTCCGTCTTTATTTAATGTCTTATTCACCAAAAAACAAAAAAAAAACAAAATTAAAAAAAAAAAAAAAAAAAAAAAAAAAAAAAAAAAAAAAAAAAAAGAAGAGAGGAAAAGAGTAGGAGAAAAGATGATGAAAAGGTTTAAAGTTCATCTCTTTGAAAAGAGGAAGATCTTCTTAGTTAATAAACTTAATTCCAAACACCCTTAAGTTTTTGAAATATAGTTTGAAACTTTAGCAAAAAGCTTCAAGAACAAGCTCTAATGGTGTATATATTGTGTATCTATAACTAAAAGGTGATATAGAGGTCAAAGAGCTTTTTCAAAGGAAGGGGAGTCTTTTTAGCTTTCAAAAACCTTACGGCTTTTGGAAATTTTTCCTAATTCTCAATTCAGAAGGAAGAGGGCCTATTTATAGAATTTGAGACATTTTCATCGAAAATATCTTCAAAAAAAGGCCAGTTGGCGAAATCCCGCCATATATCCTGTCTGTCGCTACTAAGAGACAACCAGACCCAAATACCCACGGCCGAACCAAAATTCACACGGCCGGGTCCTAAATTTGAAATGAGGATTTTTAAGGGTCTAAAACATTTTGGTCAAAATAGGGTGTAAGGTTGGGATTAGAGCTTGAATCTAAATTCCTTTGCTGAAGATTCAAATGATTGCATCGTGCAACTTTTCATCATCGGGTGTTCAGAATGAAGTGCCCAAGTCTTAAGGGTAGTCAAAGTGGGGTGTCTACACTAACTCACTCACGTCCTAATAAAGTAGACAACAATTAATTCACTTCACATAAGCACCGAGTCATATAATCACAAACGAATTGCCTTCCCAGATAATTAATTGTTCCGCAATATTGCTAGAGTTCTAGTTAGAATAAGCAGTGATCAAGTGCTTTTCTAATAGGACTTTTGTAATGCCCTCAAAATAAACCCATAAATCATCCAACAATAGCATGCTTAAACATAAGTGAATAAAGCATAAATATATATTCCATCAGAGTAGTCTTTACAAAATGTATTACATGTTGACATCAAAAGTAAATGCCCTATGGGCTTACAACTTTCCAAGTCAACACTTGGTTACAAAAAGAGAGTACTAACTCTATACAAAGAAAGCCATTGGCTTGATATACATGTAATACAATCAAAAACACAAAACGGCTCAACAGTCTCAAGCCTCCCAAGCTATGTCCTTGGAGGTGGCATGCTACCTGAACCTAAAAATGTTGTCCCATATAGGGTGAGCCACAACCCAGTAGAAATATACTAAACTAACTATAAACAATGACTAAAATAACAGCATTCGATAAATGGTCCACACTTATACTTCCACATATAACACGTTACAGTTTCATGACATTTAAGTCTATGTTACATTTCATTTCCCATTTCTTTCCCAACTTTGAGTTTGAAAACAAGGCTTAGAACCTAGCCAAATAACTTAATGAGATTAAGACTCATCTTTAAAACACTTTTGAAATTCATGATGGATACACATTTTGGTGTTATGTCAATAACACATAAAAACACTTCTATACTTCACAATTGATAACGATATACATTTTAGTGCTATATCAAATCAATTCAAACACTTCCATAATCCACACTTGATACACATTGTAGTGCTGTATCAATGTCACACAAAATCCGGTTTAGAGGTCCATCACCTATCTTCCCCTAAACCGTGGATTACATCCCCTATCTCCTCCCGCACATAATGTATATAAACATAGATCATATACATAATCAATCAATACATAAAGTTAATGTATTATTCCAACCGCTATACTCAATAGCATACTCAATCGATTAGTTTTAGTTTGCCTAATCATCATGCATTGTCTACAACAATCAAGACTATCCTCCACCGATAGCCCAAAGCAGTTATTTCTAAACAGAAAATAAATGCACCAAATGGATAAAATATCAACATTTTAACTAGGTGAGTGATAAATGATCCAACTACACCCTTTAATCCCATACGTTCCCAATTTCAACATTCTCAATTCAACTTCTCATTTCTCAAATTAATTCATCAATGTAATTAGGGCACTTCCCATAATTAAAAAAACAACCCTAAGGTTCCATTTCTATCAATAACCACATTTATCTCATTTCTCCATGCTAAACATGCATATAGGCTTATATAAATAAAACTCCATCTTTTGTAAAATTACACAAAGACCCAAACTTTCTCAAAATTACCCAACAATCCCCAACATATCAAAATGCTAAACTTTAAAGACAAAGCTCATAAGGAGGAGTAGGATATCCCTACCTCGGAGTTAGAGCTCAAACGGAGAAGATGAAGAAATTCAAAGTGCTCCAAACTTCAATCTTTTCGGATCAAAATGTAGCCCTTGACGATCAACACACTTTTTGTAAAGGCCAAAGGGTAGGAGAACACTCTAACTAGATCAATCCTAAGAGAGAAGGGAGATTCTAGAGAAAGGAACTCTCAAAATCGATTTTGGGAAAGTAAGAGAGAGAGAGGAAGTGTAAAAAGTGATTCAAAAGTGCCCAGCTGCCCTCTTTTATACGCATAACCCGCTCAAGCGGAGAATAGAACGCTCGAGCGTCAAGCACAAAAATCTGGAAACGCTCGAGCGCAAGAAGGCCCGCTCGAGCGCCAAGACACAAGAATAAAATACATCCGCTCGAGCGCGAAAGCCAATCCACTCGAGTGTAGATTTCCCCCTCCCAAAACTTTCACAGACAAAGCACTACCCGCTCGAGCGCCAAGATACCCGCTCGAGCGAGACCCGCTCGAGCGTA